CCAGCAGGAGCAGGGAGGTGATTGTCCCCCTGTACTCAGCACTGGTGAGGCCGCACCTGGAATACTGTGTCCAGTTTTGGGCCCCTCAATACAAGAAAGACATTGAGGTGCTGGAGCATGTCCAGAGAAGGGCAACAAAGCTGGTGAAGGGTCTGGAGCACAGGCCTTATGAGGAGCGGCTGAGGGAACTGGGGTTGTTTAGCCTGGAGAAGAGGAGGCTGAGGGGAGACCTTATCGCTCTCTACAGCTACCTGAAAGGAGGTTGTAGTGAGGTGGGTGTTGGTCTCTTCTCCCAAGTAGTTAGCAATAGGACAAGAGGAAACAGCTTCAAGCTGCATCAGGGGAGATTTAGATTGGATATTAGGAAAAATTTCTTTCCTGAAAGAGTGGTCAGGTATTGGAAGAGGCTGCTCGGAGAGGTGGTGGAGTCACCATCCCTGGAGGTGTTAAAAAAAAAAATGCGTAGACGTGGCACTTTAGGACATGGTTTAGTGGGCATGGTGGTGTTGGGTTGATGGTTGGACTGATGATCTTAGAGGTCCTTTCCAACTTTAATGATTCTATTCTAGTTTTACCTTCATTAAAAAATAATCCAGCCACCAAGCCAGGAGACACAAAATTAATTATTCCTCTACCTTTAATTGGTTTAGTGGTGGACTTGGTAGTGTTAGGTTAATGGTTGGCCTGGATGATCTTAAAGGTCTTTTCCTACCAAAACGATGCTATGATTTCATACCGAAGAAAGTAATTTTTGTTAAACTTTTTTTTCCTCAAAAGTCACCTTGACTGTAGCAGAATGTCTATGTTGGTATTAACTATTTATTTCAATTTGTCACTTGTTGGCTTCTTAGTTGTGTTCTTTTTGTCAAAATTGTTCTGTGTACTGTTTAAATTGTTTCAACTGTGAGTGTCAGAACTGCTTTCCTGCTCCCAAATTCAGTTGTTTTGACTCTCAGTTTAATACCAAGATGAGGCTCCAGGATCAGGAAGAGGCGCTGCATGCCCTGCCCTGATGGCCAGTTTGGATGAGCAGGGAACCAGGACACGAAGAGCAGGGGGGGCAGCCCTGCAATACTACTAAACTTCAGGACTTAATGCCAGCTCTTCTGTTGGCACAAAACAGAACAGTTGGTTTTCATTAACACTGAATTGCTTTAAGTCAGCTTTTAGCTGCTTCTCCTAAATATTGCTTATTTTCTCTATCTCCACTGGGGTTTTTTCAGCTTTCATGCTGTGGTAGTCCTTAATTTCAGTTTAGTCTTCTGTACTGCTCACAGTTTAATTGCACAGGGTTTTAGTTGTACTTAAATACGGAGATGTTGAGCAGCTACTTTTATTGAGAGGTATACACACACAAAAACCCTAAACATATTCTTTTATAATTTATTTGTGAAATGTTTAATGCTTCCACGAGGCAAATAAGAAACATCATTTAACGCAGGCACAGAAAGAAAAAGCAGTTTTTACAGACATCACCACCACCACCTTTTTCAGATTTCGATTTTAACTAGGCAAAGAGAACAGAAACGTTTAGCCACAAGTAAAGAACAATGATATAAGAAGGTAATGGTAGCTCTGGGGTGAGGAAAAAAATGTATTATCCAGTGGCAGAACAAATGCCTTAAGTTTGCTAAAGTAACATCACAGACTGGAAAAAAGCATCACTAGAAATTTTTCAGCTAGATATGTTGTAAACATCAAATAACCGTAATTAACCATTTTAGGTGAAAGTATAAAATGCTCTGAGCTAACAGACTTAAGGAACTCTTGAATAACGTTTGAACCTTAACACCGATGAAATGCTGAGAAAATACGAGATTCTCCCATTCTGAAGCAACACTCACCCCAATCGCCACCTCCAGTGATGTTCTTCTAGTCCCTTTCTGTTTGACTAAAACGTCAGCTGTGGTATAACCAGGTTTGATCTCAACGCTGTTGGGGGGGCGGAATCGGCAACTGCCCTGTCTTGCATTTGAGTAAATATGTACAACAGTAATTCGGATGTCAGTAACACTTCACCACTGGATCTGCCCTTCATTACATACATATCCTAAGACTGCAAGGTTATTTTGAAGAGCCATACATTAGAACAAAAGTGCAACTTTAAAAAGAAAAGATGCTGAAGAACTGAACTTGAGAGTAACTTTTGCCTAATTAAAAAATGACCAAAAGAGATGTAGCAGTGGAAGGTTGAAACGATGTTGGTTTGTTTCCCTAAATATAACACTATTAACTCAATTTATCCTTAAAAGCAGCACACAAGGAAGCACAGAAAGCAGAACTTGTGGTCATGGCCACTTGTGTGTTATTGTTATTATTGTCAAAATCCCAATTACTGTCCATTAACTGAGAATCCAGTTTTGGGTTTGTTTTTTTTTTTTTTCCTTAATAAGAGCTACAGACATATTAGAACCTGATGTGGTAAGGAAAGCTGAAAAGGTATTAAATGTACACCAATTTGGTATAAAGAAAACTAAATCAGAAATCTAAGTGACAACAAAAGCAGCACTAACAGCAATCTTCAGGTCAAACAACCCAAGTAAAGCAATGTTTATCAGATGAAAATACTTCTTAATTAATACAATTTAAATTCTTCAAACCAAGTATGTTGCTTATTTAGCCTGGATGCAGATGCTTTTCTCAGATAAATAATGTTATGTTGATAACAATTTATTAGTAAGTTGTACTAATGAAAACAAGATGTCTGCATTTTATGCAGCTAAAATGCTTGAGCCACTGTTTTCAGGCTTCATCCTAAGAAAATTACACTCACCAATCCTTGTAATGCATTATATGAGCTGCTAAAGTTTCTAACAGTGAGGACAATAGGCATTGTTGACTAAGAACTTTGGACAATTTTATTACCATACAGTTGAGCAGCGTAGCACGGTTTCACACAATTTTTTTTAGCTGCACAAGGAATACAAAATCAATCTGGTACGAGTCGAACACTGCAGACATTCGGCTAGGTCACTGAAGAGCTAAAGTCAAGTCTCCCACCACCTGTCTGTGGTGCGTCTGCAATCACTGCAGCTCCCTATGCATGACACTGGCTAACAGTAATGGTGACCGGATGGCCAGAACTCTGTTCCTGCGCCTCGGTCTCCCTCAGAGCAGCCTTACTCCAGGCTGCTCCCTAAGGGTCTTTAGGTTTAATCTCTCTTATAGGGCTCTTATAGGGCTGCCCAGCTATAGGAGGTGATAGGGAATTCCTCCTTCCCTTCCTTTGGTGCCACTTCCCTGCAATCACTATTCAGGACAGCAGGTACGTTAAAGAAGCGTCCTTGTAGGTATTGCTTTGAACTGCCACAGCCTGAGGAGGGAGTGTATGTGTTCAATGCGTATATATACATTTGTGCCATTAATGAGTTGTTTGGTACTGGTGATGTCACCACTGCTACTTCTGGCTGCATTTACAAGGGAAAGTGAGGCCTGATCAGCTCTTGAAAGGAAGCATGTAGGTGCCCAAGCCCCAGGAGAAGGGCCTGGCCTAAGAAATGCAAGTGGCACAAGACGTCTGATGCAGTAAAACATGCAGGGTTCTAGGTCTAGTGAGGCTTGATTGGCTAGTATTCGTTATTTGCTTTTTATGCATTAATTCCAAATTACTGTTCTAAGATGCCTAACTTGCCTATGTATTATATTAGATACCCAGGTCTGTAACCCTAGGCTCAAGATCCTAACTTAGGGACTATAGGCCTTCAAATTAAGAAGTGTAATGTTGGACTTACAGGCATCCACATCCTCTGCTGCCCCTAGCCTGGAGTCGTTTCTGGTGTGAAACTACATGCAGTTTCTGCAATACAGAGATGCTATCATGTTATTACCTTTAATCCTTTCTGAATGAGTAGTACTGTGTCTTAAGAAGAATGATCAACTAAAAAAAAAAAGATTGGAAGTGATAAATGTTCCAGTAGCTGTATTTTAGTAGCCACTCCATCTTAAAAAAAAAAAAAGTTAAACATAACATGATTTGAAATGACATATTTCAAGTGGGCTAGCTTCTGTATAAATAGACAGTTTGACTTCTCATTCAACTCTAATTGACTAAAATACAAACTAACACAAATGTGTAAAAAGATGTCAGAAGTAGGACCAGAACCCAGGTCTGGAGTTTCTACCACTGAGTCATAAGAACGCTTCCTTTGTTCAAGTAAAAAATTTCTTTTTACATGCAACCAAAATTATCTGCATAAATTTCCAAGTAATTTGAACTGGCATATCCACATATTCCCATTACAAAGCAATAAAAAAGTGTTCTCAACTTTGAAGGCAACGTTTTCGTGATATAATTAAACTCATTATTACAACGTACAATAGTGATGATTTTGACACCATGTTTTCTACTTACTAGATTAAAAAGCATTAACTGCTGTTCTTCACAGACATCCTACATGACAACAGGAAGTGATTAATTAGTCATTAAACAAGACTACCGGATTTTGGTTTTTCTTGTTTTCCAGTGTAACTGCTGAAACATTAAGATAAAAATTGTGTCACAACACCTTCCCAAGTGAAAGGGTAGCCTCAAAATTATGCACCCCATACAAACTGCTAATGAATAAAGGGTTAAAAACTTACAAATGCAAAATGCCATGATTGCTACTGAGACTAGCCGGACAAAAATGGGTGCATGTATACTGGCAGCATCTGCAGAATCCTAAGGTGCATATCACAGATGCGCTATGAATATTCTCTGTTGTTTTCCAAGCAACAATACAGTGCACAGTTAAGACAGTATGAAACAAATATTACATGATTCTGAGTTTGCATTTAATATTTACAGCAATCTTACAAAGCCTAAGGTTTGTAGAAACCGAAAATTTTGCAATGAGAATAATGCAGTAAAAGATAACAGCAAACGCTGTTTACCTTCCATAGATACTCTATTTTTCTCTGTACTGTTCAGTTATTTCTTGGTGGCAACAAAGAAGATTCAGTGTTAATTAGCATCTTATCCTGCTTCGGAGTGAAATGTTCTGGTTTCTCCGAGTTTGTAACTACTTCGACAGAGTAGAGATCTCTTCTGTTCTCATAGCATCAGACAGGAAACTAAGTTCATTGCACAGCGTCTCATACCTGAAGGCCATCCGGATCTGTGCAACATTTGTCTTTCGAATGTCATTTCCCTCAGGCCCTTCTTTACAGTAATTCACCCCTAAGAATTTCTGTTTTTCCTGTGAACGGGATTAAATGTCAAAAGGAAGAAGTCAGTTCAACTGCTTTGATTTATTGTATAACTGAGTATTTGTTAGTTGAATGACTCCAGTGCAAGTGAAAAGAGCAGCTTCAACCAGCTGGCCATTGAACTTTACCTCAGAGTCTTAACCGGTTTTGGAGATTTTAAGGCCAAAGTTTATATAATTACTCAGCAGTGCACTCAGTCTGGCTCACTAAACCCTTCGTGCTAGCGTTCAGTCTTCCCTACTACATCTTTCATGTGACAGGTCAAAAAGAGGCTTAGGTTTCTTTTGTTAGTTAAATGTTGCACAAGAGGAACATTAGTAATTGTCACTAGAGAATATTGGAAGAAACGACAGAATACACTTGTAAAGCCCCTTTGTGTACGAGCTCCTTGAGAGGAACGTTTGAAAGTGACTTAGAAGAGAGGATGCTCTGAAGTAAGTCCTGGAGAAAGCCATGGATGTGTAGAATTTTAAAGCCAAAAGGGAATTTAGTCCAATCTGACTGCCTCTCTAAACCAGAATATTTTCTGTAGTACTCCCTTCTAAGCAAAAACATGTCTTGCTTGTGACACGCGGTTTGTTTTTATTCAGTGCAAGACAGGGTGTATGAAATTACTGGGGATATCACCCAAATAATCAAAGGTTTGGGACTGGAGGCAGAACCGAGTATAAACAGGCACCTGGTCTCTCTGCCTGTCTTAAGAATTCCAAAGCAAAGCTAATGAGAAAAAACGTGACATTAATACTTTTTTTAATTGTAAGACTGCATAGCACATAGTTTGTGAATATTTCTGGAAAAGAGGACAGGAGTGTGCACAAATACGTCACACGAGCACCTACTATTCAATTTTCAGACTATTGACTTCTCAGTTCCTACTTGCTCTAATATTCACAGAAGAGATTTTTTCAGACATAATTACCTTATCTGACAAACCACTCTGTAGTACGCTGTTTCTTGCTATTTCACACAAGTCACAGGTACTCAGTTTCCACACCTGGGCTGCAATAGCATATTCTTCCATGAGAGCTTCCTGTATTACCAAAATATGTTTAGTATTAAATTATATGTAAATAAGATAGAAATGGAGATATGTACTCAGTACTAATTAAGGAATTTATACATGCTCTCTAGATAGCTGTGAAAAATTAGAGGTTTCAGACTTTAACATCACAATTACTAACGAACAGAATTGCTTATTTCAAATTTCCCAAGGGCGACTGTTAAATAATTAATAGGCACTGGGTATCCACTGGGTATCTTAGGCTAAGAAATTGCAGCCTGCAGTCCAGATCCTTAGAGGCATTTATTAGGCAATTTCAAACGAGATCCCAGGGTATATAAACACCTTGGAGGATCTAGTCATAAATCTGTAAGGAATATGTACATAGACAGATAGCAGGGCAATTTCTCACTTCTGACATTCCACACAAGGAGGTTGGGTCTGACCCTAGTGGGCTCTCACAGCTGAGGATCTCCCACGCTACGTGTAACTCGGCTGGTGCTGCGTTACATCCATGCAGAAAGCCCCCACAGAAGCTCTCTGTCTTTTCTAGCAGGGACATGTCATGGGCCAGAACACAGACAACGGGCAACGTACAGGCCACTCTAAGGCACAGCATGGCTCAAGTCAGTGCCAACCACAAGATTGGGGCATCAAAACCAGTGACCGGGCATTTCTGTCCTGCCAGGCCACCCAAATACAAGAATGAGTTTCAATTCACTGAGCAAACAGCTCATACGTCATCTTCAGAGATTCCACATGGTGTTTTTGTAATGTACTTCCCCAGATTTATTAGTAAGGAAACTGGACTTTCCTGGCACTCTAGAGGATTGTTTATGAAGGCTCAAACCTCCCTTCAGCCTCATCCTTCATTCTATACTTCAACAGCCAACACTGGAGAGGCAAGAGTACAAAAGAAACATAATTAGGAAATCAGACATTTCCCTCTGAAACCTAACAGTGAGTAGTAGACTGAGAATGAGGAAGAAAATGAATGAAGTGACTGAGACATGAAACTTTGTATCCTAAGCAATGATATAAAATAGCTTTCAGGTCATTCTGCGCCTATGCGGTACCGTTGCCAAATTCAAAGACAAGTGCTTTTTGCAATTCTTACCTTTGTATAATGAAACTGCATAGGATCATCTGTGGAGAGAGAGACATGAAGTCCCTTATGTAGAAATTCCCGTAGTGGATTTTTTGAGTACTCCAGGAACAGGCTGTTGTTACTAAGTGGAGACATAGCAATGGGTATTTGTGCAAGATAATAAAGATACTGGAGGACAGGACTCTGCAAGACAAAACAGTCAGCATTTAATGGTACTATAGGATAATGAAAAAAAGAAGGATTTCCCTTGGATAAAATGGAAACAGCATTACAGAGGGAGGACGAAGACCAAAAAAATTTAGGTTGACACTAAACTCTGACTTCTTTAGAAAATATTTAAAAGTCTGAATTTTAAATGTTACTGATCTTCATAAAAATGATTTACATTCTTCAAAATATATGTCATCTTTTTAAAAATATGGTGACTAATATTACTGTAGATTAGTAAGTATATATGACTATCAAGGGCACTGCATTTGATACTAACCACATACCTTCCCCCAAAACCTGAAAGTCACAGATAACAGATGTGTAAGAACTGCTAAGCAATTTGTTATTTTCAAAACTGCAGTCCAAATTTTAGGAGCAGAAGAAGTTTTAATTTATCAGAAGTCATGTGTTGCTGTTGCACATAATATAAATAATCTCTGGGCACCACATCTTTATTACTAGTTTTGGCTTAACCAACCTGTGAACCTAACAAGTGCCATTATTATTATCTGCTATGCCAGGTTACTGCACCAGACTAAGCAGCAGAGAGTGAAGAGGAGAACGCTTTGGTCACATACAGCCTTAGTACTACTCTGTCTGGGTCTAATTTTAGGAATTACTGGTTCTGAGCACAACATGAGACATGATTTCAGGCAAAATTTTTCTTTGTTCTTTTATATTTTGAAAAATACAGAAAGAATTTTCCAGCATTAACCAGAAAATCCAACTTACAAGAGAACTCTTTCCAAAAAATTACAATAAACTCAGTGCAAGTCTGCCACCCACTGACCAATTACTTTAATTACAAAACAGTGGCCTGGAGTTGTGTGATGGTTTTTAACTGATACACCAATGTTTGTCCTGTCATAACCATCAAGTTGTAAATAAAATATTGCTCTGTTATACAGCTGTGTTAAATTTCTTGATCAAGTGATCCCAGTCACTCTAGATATAAATAATCAAAACCTTAATGAACTTCTGAATGAACACTGAAATACAGGGATGCCAGTCAGGGAAAATGACCTTTGTCCCTGTACAGAAGAAACTAGAGCTTTCCTTAAATTCTTCTGGGACCTAAACCAGGGAGTAGTAACAAGTCTAAGCAGTTTCTTCCATGTAATTTTGGCTCTGCTTGGAGTAACCAAAACCAGGTGCTGCCAAGTCCTTGACATATCTGAACAGTTACCTTCCCTGTAAAGACATAGCTTTAAAATATTCACATAGGAAAAGCGGTATCTTTGTAGCTTAAATAAGAAATAAGAAGTTCAGCTGAGCTTACTTATTTCTGATCAAAGTGAAGGGTTACTTGTGCCTTGCTCAGAAAATTAATTTTGGGCTGCCCAGATAAAGTCAATTTGGTGACTGCTGTTTGAACCAGTGACTGATGTCTAAGCAGGTAGTGATTAATTTATGTGAGCAACCAAGCAATACCTTCTTCAAGAGCAATCCGTGAGAAATGTTGTCTGCTGTCAGAAAGGCCGATACAAGGTGTGTGATAGACCCAGCTTCTCCACAGTGAGGTCGAAACAAGAAAGTACACTTCCCTGAGGAGATTAAAAAGTTCCACTAACAAAAAAAGGCACTGTTCTTCATCTATTTTGTATATAATTATCATTAATATGGGAATTTAAAAAAAAAAAAAAAAAGTTACACGTTCTCATACAATTTGACATGACATCTAATCAGGCCTACCTGTGGGCTGCTGTCAAAAGGGGCAGGTCCCTCTACCCACGCCCCTTCCACCACCTGACATATTTATGTCTTCCTTCTTCTTTCCTTCCCCAGTTAGATCTCATTTAGCAATTGCTTAGCTACGGTGCAAACAGTTATTGAACTACTTCAGTTGAGGGAACTGGCAGATAGAAAGCTAAGTGAACTGATGCAACCTATGGCCACATAATTGCTGGATTCAAAATGAGGGAAGAAGTGTAAGCATATTGCCAAGAGTTAGCTAACACTACCTAGGGTGATGACAACCTGCCATTTCACCGGGTTAAGTGTAGCATAAAACACACCCTCAGTAGCACAGAGATGATTTAGGAGTGTTAGTTATTACAACTAGGCTTCACACTATAATTTCTAGAACTATTTTATTTTTATCATCTATATTAAAAATGATGCTGGGTTTCATTCAGTGCAGACAATGTCCCATAATTATTGAGATGTTCAAAACAAAGAATTTCAACAAGGACTACTGAGTATAAGGCAGTTCTAGGATGGATGTTTAGTAACATTTCTCCTGAAAATGGATGTGAGGATGTAATCCATCCTTGCTGCTTCACTAATACTACAAAAAGTATAAAACAGTCTTGTAATGGACTGGCTGTGGTGCCTCAAATACTCAGGATGTTTAACAGGGTGAACAGTTTTACTGACTCATTGATGAATTGTGTCATTATCTCACCTAGCTGTAAAGAATATTTAATGATTATCTAAGGAGATTTTCAAACAGTAGTTGAAATGATCTTGAGGTAAAAAAGAAATGCGTAAGTTCCGACTGAATCTCTGTCTTTGGAAAAGAAAAAAAACGTAGACTACAGAGAATGTAAAGGAAGTCACAAGAAAGGGATGACTTAGATATCTGCTGTACTGTGTCCTTTCCATTATAGAACTAACAACTAGGCCTGTTTGTTGCAAGTACAAGGTCATTTAAGGTGGATGTTTTTATTATGAGTTTTGATTATATAGGGTGGGAGAGAACGAAATGCTTCAGGTATCAGTGGGAGAGAAGAAATAACATTTTGAATGTTAACTTGGATAAGACCTGTTAAAATGACAAATCTGTGCACCTCCTATAAGAAAATCCCCAAATGTTTTATAAATAATAATGAACAAAATCCTTGCAAGGTATGTGATGACACCGTAATGTCAAGGGATAACGTCACTGTGCCTCAATTTGAGTCAGTTGTGCAGATCACTCCGTGAGTCAGCCTCAAAGTCAGGAACATAACCTCAAGCTGAATTTCAGGCTTTATTGAGCCTGACATCAAAATCTACTTTTACAGTCATGATCTCACATTAAGTATCATAACTCCTTGCATTCCTTGCCTAGACATCAGTCTCAAAAGTAGTAAAACTGAGTGAGTCAATAAGCATGCTAAAGTAAGTTAGCTACATGTGTAGTTTATAATTATGTCCTTCGTCTATCTTTGATAACAGCAGAAGCCCTTAAACCAACATTTCACAACATAACTTTGTATCTCTTAAATTACCAGGAGATAGCAAGCTACCAAGAGGTACATTATATTTGGAAATCCACTGTGAATCCAAGCAAAAGTCAACAAGTCAGTTTTGTGGGGTTTCTTCTTGTCGTGGTAAATTAACTCTATCCCAGCCGAAACCAGGACACTTCTTTTGTTTTGTTTGATATATTCAGGTTTAAGGAATTCGCAAAACAAAAATACACACAAATGTCAAACCAAGATATTAATCTGATGCCTTCACAATTTCTGAATATTTCATTTGAATTCATTTTGCAGTTACCTTTTCAAAATAACTCATGTACTGCTCTTGGACTCTTTAAAATAATTCAAGATAACCTTTGCTTCAAAAGATACATGATCTCGACACTGACTGAGATTAAGACCAAGATTATTGATTTTTCTTTCTGGAAGCTTGTAAAAGAGAAAAATTACTACTTACCTCCTAAGGTTGTTTAGCAACATGATGTTCACATACATATAATACAAATAGTAGCTATACGGGGGATTCTTCTCACTGGTCCAGAGGTCAGGGTTAAGGCTCTTGTCAGAGAACATATGGCCACTGTGTTTGGATTCATCATCAACACTGTCAAAGCCAGTCACCTGGCGGGAGAAGAGATTCACAGACATCAGTGTTTTCAAGAAGCAAACTTCAACATTACTTACTCTTGCTTCAGGACTTGCTTGTACAAAGCATCTAGTCCTCTTCTGTTTCCCTCGTTATGCTAACAGTCCTGCTGCTCTGCCCTCCTACC